GGGGGGTCAAAGGTCAAGGTTCATGACCAGTAATACTTTAATAACCCTTTTTAATTGTTTGATCACTGGGGTCAGACGTCATGCATAATAACCCTTATCACATGATAATTGGCTGCTGATAGGGGGCATACATGTTTTTTTCAAACATATCTTGTTTACAATTGCTCTGTAACTAGTCCCTAAAAAAATATGAACGTCGCTTTGAGATATTTTTGCTTCTGTGCAAAGCAAAGTCATATCAAAATTCAAACTACAAAATCCATAGCACGTTCCACCAGAAAATCAGGCTGATCAAAAAAAACAAGACAGCGTGTATTTACATTAATTTTGACTTTTTTATGAACAAAACTAAAAGATATATACCTTTGGAACAAAAAGCGTAACTGTCACATAAAAAATATGATTAAATCCGTTCATGTATTTAAAAATTATACAGCCGATAAACAGGCAGCCATACAGTGCATGAAATCTGATTGGCTAATTCAAATGCAAGCGTTTAACTGAGTCAGAAGATTCTAACAGACTATTTTTTTAACGAAATAATTGCCCATGCATCGTAAGCATGTTCGAATATATTTTTTCGTTCAAAAATTTGGAATCTATCTGTAAAGTACGTTACTTAACCAGTATGGCCAATAGACAAAAATAGATTGATGTTTATATTTTATTTTAAATTGATAAGTACATTGTTTGAGAGTTTTTATTTATGATTAAGCATGAAATTGAAAGAAAAAAAGATAAGCTTTTGAATAAAGCTTGAAAGACAAAATAATAGACATTTTTTTATGATTCTATGCGTTGATGAGCAATAACTATTAGACGTCAACAAAAACTATAACAAGCCTGTAACCTCTAATATATTGGACTACTCTGTAACTGTGAAATTCGAGAACGAATTTCAATATAGCTGAGAAGTATGTCATGGTTCAAAACTGTTCACTATTTAGGAGAGAGGATGTGTAAGCTGCCAGATAGCTCGGCTGGTAGAGCCGCGGTAAGGAAATCCAAGGGTCCCGGGTTCGAGTCCTAGTCAGACAGCACATTTTTCTCACCCTGTAGCAAAGGCCAAGCCTCAAAGTGAGCTCTTTGTCAGAAATTAATATAAGCCATCGGCAGCTACACATTTTATGCCCTCAAAACACTTAAAATTTGCACACATTCACTTAAAACAATATTTTACATTTACTGTTTTAATATATGTATTCTAGGCTAAGTGAGGGTCCATCCGCCCTTTCAGGCACTGAGAGTACAGATCCCAGACATGTCACCATTCATGTCCTTAAATGTTTATATCAACCAAAAGGTGACCTATAAATTTTAAATTCAGTATTTCACTAAATGATACTAAATATGTATGCAAGTCGATTTTTGTGATGATGAGCTTGACTGACTGATAAGATTATGCAACTCAGACTGATCCCTGTCACATATTTTCCGTGTTCATGTCCGACATGCACGAGCATTCTTTACAGGCGAATTTGGAATGAAATTTTACCCAAACATGGCAGTCAGTTAGTAGAATGACGGAAAAGTGTTTCTTGGGTTCCAGGTTTAAGTCCCAGTCAGACTGCAAATTTTTCTCACCCAGTGACACGCTATTTGATATTCTTTCATAATCTCATTGTCTTTATCACAGTAGTATATACATACCTGTATATTGATATTATTTCAGTTGTTTGCTAGATGAAAATTCCTCTTTATCTCATTACCTGGATGAACATCTTGCATCTTGTATCTTCTAAGAAAGAAGAGTCGCCGAGCATCCAGAAGCTGAAAGCAACATGTAAAGACACAGCAACATGTCCTGTCTCCTTCCCCAAGGAGGATCTACAGGACCGACTTACACCTATACAATACAAAGTTACACAGGAAAAAGGGACTGAAAGGTTTTTATTTAACTTATTTTTTAAAATGAAGTTTAATGTTTTTTACCATGCATTCATTCATTTTATTGGGTCAACAAGTTCTATGTTTTGGAGAAAAGATGTTCTTATGGCTAATGCTGTTGCATAAGTAGTCCTTATGTGTATCAAAGATTGAAAATAAGATATTTACAAAGAAAAAGTATTAATTGTTGCTAAGACAATACATTTTTTGTAGCAGTTTTTCAGAAATCGAATTGGCATCAACTTTTACACATCTGGTGCTTTGTATCGCTGCTTAAAATGTAACGCAAAATTATCAGAATATATGTTGGTTGTATCACAATACAGTATTATAATACCAACAATATAAATATGTGATGGTCAAGTCACTGTCTTTTTAGCAAATATCCACTTTACCATAGTTCTATTATACCAGTATTATTTAAACAGTTAAATGAGACATTGGCAAAATGTACTGATCCCTAAACATTGTATAACTATACTGTTTTATGATACATATATATTAGACCCAGTGGTTTTTCGCCTTCTATAACAGAGGCCTATATAAGGCCTCTAATTTTCTTTAAGATATGTGCAATGATAAGTTAATTCTTATAAAGAAACAATAGAAAAGTACCAGTGAGAAATCTTTTCAAGATATTTTTAATAAAACTGAATTTTAGAAAGGAAAATCAATGTTCATATCATTTATAACTTGAATTAATGCATACTGTTGCATGTTTATAATTTCTATTTGCCTCATATTTGATACATAATTATGTAATACTGCAATTTACAGGCCTTTCACAGGACAATATGTGAATCATAAAGATGAGGGGTCGTATCGTTGTGTGGTGTGTGGAAATCGAATTTTCTCATCAGATACCAAGTTCAACTCCCACTCGGGATGGCCTTCCTTCTCAGATGTCCTTGACAAAGAAAGTGTAACCCTGTCTGATGATACTTCACATGGTTTGTTTTATATTGTTTTATATGCTGTACTTCTTCTTTATACTCAATAAAACATCTGTTAGTGGCACTTTCTTTGGCGGATATTTCTTTTATTAAATTTTATATTTCTTTGAATATAATTTAAATTGTGTTCCTTTCCATTTCTTTAAATATAATTTTCACTGTGCTCCTTTCCAGCCCAAAAGGAGGAAGTCTTGAAACCTCATGTTACTGTTCCTCTTTTTTTTTTTTTAAAGTCAATTCGCTTGTTAGTCTGGTCTCCTGATTTGAAAGAAATAATTTGATACTTTCGTATTTGACCTGTATGTATATGACATACCTCTTATCTCAGCTCCAACCTTTGTTCTATCATAAATTCAAGCAGGCAAATACAGCTTAATTGAACTGGGTTGAAGTCTATACCCTGCTCCCTGCCCTGTTGGGTTTGTTATGGCAACAAAATGGCAAGGGATATGATTTTCTATGTCGTATCCATCGAGCGGGAATTAGAGTGGAGATAAAGAAAGTCATGTTGTTAAGTTCTTTGTCCTTGTTGCAGGTATGCAGCGTATTGAAGTTACGTGTGCGAAATGTGGGGCACATCTGGGGCACTTGTTTAATGATGGGCCAGTCCCGACGGGGCATCGTTACTGCATTAATTCTGCTGCACTCAATTTTGAAAACAAACAAACTGACAAAATTAAATTGAAATCAGAATTGTGAAATAATCAGTAGAATAAACTTTACATAAACAGTGTTTTAGTTGCTCAATATTTCTTCATTTTCATTGAATTGTCACTATATTAATTAAAGAAAACACATCTTTTAATGTTTTTTAAAAAATAAAATCATATTAAAGTTCATGAATGCCGTAAGGAGACTATATAACATGTTGTTTAACTTTTAAAATCAGACTAAATGTAGGGCGTCCATAGCCGAGTGGTTAAGGTCATTGACTTCAAATCACTTGCCCCTCACTGCTTTGAATTGCCATAGACTTTGATTTCTTTCTTGTGAGGAAGCTCTCCAGTTAGTTTAGAGAATGTTGGTGGTTCTACACAGGTGCCTGTTTGTGCTTGAAATAATGCATGTATGGGCACACCTGAGGTCTTCCTCCACCAGTAAGCTGGAAAGTCGCCATATGACCTTTATTGTGTTGGTTTGACGTTGAATGCAATCAAACAAACAAAACTGCGTTTTCAATTAATTGATAATTAAAGATTTAAATTACCAAAATTTTAAGATTTTATAATTAGAATTTAGCTTTGACTACTGTTAGTGATAATTATGATTGACACAGCTTCTCTCAAATTAAAGTTAGTGTTTCTTAGTCTAAGTCAACATTAATGAAATAAAATGTCTCTGGGGTGGAGCGGCTCTGCGTGTGGTTATGCGGGCCACTAAATTCATTTAAAGCAGCATGCCTCCATATAGATAAAGTAACTGATTCTAAAATAAAATGCTACAAGAATTTAAGAAACATGAATATTCCAATATTTACTCTTAATACCAGTTTCTGTGTGAAATAACAATTTGAGCGGCTGTTTATGTCCTTTTTCACCGTATTTGATACAGAATCAGTTTACTTGTTTGTATGCTGAATATGTGAAATGGATTCACCCAGCTTTTGACTTTGGATCAGTCCATTCAAAAGTTTAGGGGTTTTGATATCAAAATACAAAAATCGAGATACCAACAGTATAGAGCCTGGTCAGACTACAACAATCATCATCTTAGTGCAGTAATACAATGTAGGTTAACTCTTATTGAATTATGTAAGGAGTTAACAAGTTACTGCACCAAGGTGATGAAATGACTCCGTACTGATTGCAAATGCTAATCTATTGGTTCTTAGAGGTTGATCTAGACCAAGCCAGTAAACATATGGCACAAATATTTGTATAGAATATAGGTTTTGTTTTCTTTTATCATGTCGTTTAGAAGATGTATGGCCTTCAAGCAGATTGTCAAAAGAATTTTTTAACAGCAACAAAAACTTAAACTCTGTGTTTCAACATTTGCAGATCCTAGCTCTTCCCCAACTGAGCAAAATGTTCGGGTCTTTTGAAATTCTTCAAAGAAAGGTGTGAAAAAATGGTTTCTTTTACTATTTTGTAGGAGCGAAACGAGTAGAAGTAAAATGTGCCGACTGCATGGCACATCTCGGTCACTTGTTTGACGATGGACCGAAACCGACCGGTGTACGTTTCTGTGTAAACTCAGCTTCCTTAGACTTCAAAAAAGAGACAACTGTATGACGAAGGTCGTGATGCTGTCAATGAGATTTGTTTGAATATCATAACATTACTGCTGAATATTACAATATTGCCATGGTAACACACACTGTTGTTAGTACATCAAAAAACATTTTTAAAGTTGTTTATTCATATCATATATGGATCAAAGATGAACTATTTTAGTATTGCTTATGTTGCTAATCCATTTTGTAAATAATTGGCAGAAGTATTAAGGTAGGGGTTTAAATAGCTACAGTGGGTTGTTAGCTAAAACTGGTTAGAAAATTCAAGAACCGATATCCGAGGATATTATATAAGAAAGAGCTGAAAGAGTTTTAATTTGATTTTAAACATTACCTTAGTTTTTTAGTCCCCTACCGGTTTACCGGAGGGGACTTTAGGTTTACCCTCTGTCCGTCCATCTGTCAGTCAGTCAGTCCGAGCAGACGAGAGCTACATTATGAGGTTTAGGTTTATGTACAGGCACTCTGTATGGGGTTCATTCCGTAGAGACATGTATTATGTGGTTAAAAATGCTCTTATGGGGTCAAAGGAATAACCCCACAAACACGTCTGCTAAGTATGTCCGTCCGTCAGTCCGTCCGTCCACAAAACTGGATCCCGCGATAACTTGAAAAGTACTGAAAATATTTTTATGAAACTTGGTATATGGATAGATGGCAGTATGGAGATTATGCACGTCTTTTTCTTTTCTTCCTATGTTGAAAATTCTGGTTGCTATGGCAACAAATATGCTGAAAATATGGCAAATTTTACACATAAACTGGATCCAGTGATAACGCAAAAAGTACTGGAAAAAATTTTGTGAAACTTGACATATGGGTAGATGGCAGTCTTGAGAGTCTTTTTCTTTTCTTCCTATGTTGAAAATTCTGGTTGCTATGGCAACACATAGACTGAAAATTTGGCAAATTTTACACATTTACACTGAATCCAGTGATAACTCAAAAAGTACTGGAAATATTTTTATGAAACTTGACATATGGTAAGATAGCAGTCTTGAGATTATGCATGTCTTATCTGTTCTTCCTATTTTGATAAAATATCAGTTGCCTTGGCAACAAATAGGCTTAAAACATGGCAAATATAACAATATTTGTGATTAGTCAAAAAGAGCTGAAAATTTTTATGAAATTGCATCTTTAATTCAAGAGTATACTCCTCTTTAAGAATTTTGCTTTTAAAATGTTATATTTTGGTAACAGGGATGTTTCAAATATTAACTTTAGAGTGTCCTCAGTCCGTCTGTCTGTCTGTCTGTTCATAAAAACTGTTTCCTGTGATCACTTTTAAAGAACTTTTCCAACAAATTTACTTAAAATAGAGAAAAATTGAAACATTAATGAATGGCCAATGGTCCTTCAGAATGTTGATGGGGTTCTAACCGGTTGGGGACTTATGGATTGCTTGCAATACTATGATAATTGCTTGTTTAACAAGATATGACATTTTCTTTGTATTTTTGTTGAAGGCAACAATGTACATGTACTTTTTTCAGTCAAATGCTTTGTGATTATGTATGGTTCTAAGGAAAATATTTTTTCCTTAATCATTTATATATATTATCACCGAGTACAATTAAATTAAAAAAGAGCAAAGTGCCATATCTTGTCATAAAGAAAAAAAGATAATGTTGAAAATTGAATGATCAGTCAAACATTTAGAATGGTTGTTAGGTCGCCATTTAAACGGTTAATTTTTCACTAACCGTTACACCCTTAGTTTTGGCAATTTTAGCTGTCTGCATTCTGTTTTGGATAAAACAGCTTTTGTTGTTGGCAAAAGTATAGTTAATGATTGGGCTGGATCATGGCAAAACCCCAATACTGTGCAGTCTGATCAGGATCCATGCTGTTTGCTTTCTATCCTAATGCAAGTAGAGGAACTTATAGCAAACAGCATGGATCCTGATCAGACTGTGCGTATATGCAGGCTGGTCTGGATCCATGCTGGTCGCAAACCTACTATGTTGGTTTTATCAAGGCCCAGCTCATTTAATTATTTTTGTTATAACCACCAATAAATATTGAATGTTGATATAAGTGAATCTGTTTTAAAATTTAGTGTTTGAAATTATTTTTTGTCTGATAGGATTGCAGTATTTCAAAAAAACTTTGGGATATTGGCTAACTATTAATCAGTCAGTCACTTAATTGAATATTTATAAAAAATAATTTCAAAGGTTAGCTTTGATTTGTAAGGATAGGTCAAGCAGTTGCGCCTTTCTTGACAAATTTAATATTATCTTGACAAATTTAATATTATCTTAATGCTAACTGATGAACAATAACATGTAATCATATCTTTATGTTAACGTAAAACACTTATACATGTATTTGTCAAGTGCTTCAATGTAATAATTAAGTTTATCGTTAAACATTATTTAATTGATCTTTAATGTTGTTAATGTTAGTTATTTTGTTTTTTTTTTATCATTTTTGGGGTTGGGGCAGGGTGGGGGGAGGGTTGTTGGGATGGGATGGGGGGCTTGTGCAATATATTCAAACAAATCTCATTTATTTGGCAACATGTTTTGTGTAACAATTAGTCATTTTTAGCTCGACTTTTCTATGAAAAGGGGAGCTATCCTACTCGCCCCGGCGTCGTCGGCGTCAGCGTCGGCGTCACACCTTGGTTAAGTTTTTCGTACCACCCCACTTTATTTCAGAAGTATTACAAGTATGGCTTTGAAACTTACCATACTTGTTCACCATCATAACCTCCATCTACAGACAAGAGTACATAACTCTGTCAAGGTTTTTGACAGAATTATGGCCCTTTTTTGACTTAGAAAGTGTATTGAGCTTGGTTAAGTTTTTTGTACCACCTCACTTTATTTCAAAACCATTGGAGGTATTGCTTTGAAACTGACCATACTTGTTTACCATCACGACCTTCATCAACAGACAAGAGGACATAACTCTGTCAAGGTTTTTGACAGAATTATGCCCCTTTTTGACTTAGAAAATACATTGAATATGGGTAAAATCCACTTATTGCCTTAACCCTTTGAGATATTGCTTTGAAACTTTTAATGCTATTTCACATCATTACCCCCATCTGTACGCAAGAGAAGGTAACTCTGTCAAGGATTTGTTTTAAAAATTAAGGCCTTTTATCGACTTAGAATCTTGGTTCTTGTATTGCCTTTTACTGCAAAAACTTTTTTTATTGGCAAGCAATAAAAAAGTCGAGCGCGCTGTCTTACGGACAGCTCTTGTTGTACTTGCCTTACTGTTTGTAGTACATACAGGATGCTTCTGTGTAGTCAAATACATGTACGTCTGCTGCCAGCAATGTTTCAGTGCAGCATTTAGTTCCCAGTTTGTCCTTCCATTATGTCACATTATGCTTACCATTCTCATAGCACTTCCATTATTGACAGTTTATTTTATATATACCATACAGTGCAACCTGTACAAAGCAACACCCTCATGGAGACAAAGATTTTAATTTGTTGCTGAGAGGTGTTACTATGGAGAAGTTGAATTAATTGTAAAGTCTGCCTTAGGAAGGAATTGTTACTGTTGTTGTACATAGGATTGTTCTGTAGAGAGGCATGCTCTACTGAGGTTGCACTTTTTTGAATTGTTGGTATCTTCCATGAATGTCTACCCTTGGGTAGGTTTTCAGGTCATTTGGGTCAAGGTCATATAATTTAAAAATAGAATTTTCAATTTTTTTTCCTTCTTGGAATCTCCATAATGTAGGGTCATTTAAGTAGTTTTGCCAAAGCAATATCAGGTGGAATAATTTGGTTTATAGGAATACATAATTATGTACTAATAATATTGTACTGAACAGTTATATAAATATCAAATAAGCGGTGATTTTTATAAAAATATTTTTTAAATGTTCAAACATATTTTTTACAGGACATTTGATATATAAAAATAGTTTAAGACCTAGCTGGGATAGTGTTAAGAAAGGCACTACATATGGTTAGTCTGTCCTTATAGTCCAGAATTAGTAGTACATACCTTATTGTCTCTATTTAATGCCCTTTGGGGCTTGCATATTTTCAAGAGGGGGTGGGGAGGGGCGCTAATTAGAACTTTCAATTATAAAAATCATTATTCATTATCACAATCTAATTCATTATGATCTAATTAGTCGTAGTAGGGGGGGGGGGCCTTAATTGGAAACAATACGGTAATTAGTAAAGTACAAAGTGCTCCAATAACCTACAAGAAGAAATCCACCTATACATGTAATTTTACTCTCTAAATCTAAAAATCAAAGTTGTTATGTTTGGCATATATGTTAATCAGTGCTTTTCTTTTTTATAAATTATCAACTTTTTGTTTGTTTATATGTAGAATTTTCTGAAATTTCATATCAAACAGGGCATTTTAATGTGTCATAAACAGAACATTTGACTAGATTTTCATGATGATGTTGATCACAATATCCGAGAGATTTTATTGTATATTTTAATGTTAGTTTGCCTTTGATATAAGTTTACTTATATACTTATAGTTTTACTTTACATTATATATTGTCTGTTTTCTATTTTGTGTTATTGATATTTTATATTATATATACACTGTGCAGGTAGAAGTGTATAACTTGTTGTGTGTAGCAATATCGTCAGCTACTAAGTCTTCTTTTACAATAATTCATATATCAGTTTGTTGGGTAGATCACCCATATTTTCACAGAATAAAATTTTTAATGCACAATTGTCAGTTGATACCCCAGCACTCATTTCTCGTGGCGTAGTACATGCGATATACATGGAAAACTAGTTAAGATTTTACTTTTTGTCTGTCCCGCACTGTCGGACCCATAAGAAAAGCGAGGCATTTGTCAAACTTTCATTGCAGGGACACTTCACAGGTATTGTTTTTCATAGGAATGTCCCTGCAGAGCAAGGCCTAATTACTATTTGGGATTTGATTATCAATATACATGTATCAGTACAGGAGATGAGGGGCTGGAGTAACAAATGACTCGTTCATACATTGTACTAGGATAATATTTCATAATATAGAATTCCTATGTATTTTTTGCTCATAGCTTAATATTAAATGCAAAATTGAAAATGATTTTAAAATGACAAAAGTTAGTGAAGTTTTATAGCAAGTTTTTATCAGGAAAAATCAATAATGCTGAGCTAATAATGCTTTAAATGTTTAATTCAAATTTTTGATCTTTACTACAAAATTGATACTGGTATTTTATACATGTAATTTATATTTTATTTACATTGTGCTTGATCTAAATTTCTGGCCTTCTGACAGCTCTTGTTTTTCTTTACCCATCATTTGCTGTTATTTTCTTAACCTTTTACCATCTGGATTTGTTTAACGGATTTTCACTTCTTTGAAGTTGGAACATTAGAAATTAATTAAAGGATTTCAGTATCACAGTAGGATTACTGCGCTACCAACAGAATACTTTTTTTTTTTTTTTAATGCGTTTATTTAAGGTCGCCGCCGGAAAGCCCATATGGGCGACCGTACACTCAAGTCGGGCCATCCTAGAGCGTGTCGCCGAGATTTTTCGTCGATTTGTTTCCAGCTTTATTGGTGGAGGAAGACCCCAGGTGCCCCTTCGGGCATTATTTCAGGCACGAGCGGGCACCTGGGTAGAACCACCGACCTTCCGTAAGCCAGCTGGATGGCTTCCTCACATCAGAATACGATCTGGTAGGCCACATGTATTTCCAGGCTGGCCTACCTTAATGCTGGTGGCAAAACATTGTTTAGTTTCAGAAGGTAAATTGGTAGTTGTTGATGTTGAATATGACAGTCATTATGTCTCATTACTTAATAATATAATATAATACATTAATTTTGAATGGTTGCCATATTTTATGTAAAAATGTTAACACTTGTTTTCACTTTAATATAACATTAGTACTTGCTTAATTCTTACTTACTTATATACTTCTTTACATACATTCGATATTAAAGTATTTTTGCTGGTTTTGCTGGTTTTTTTTACCACGTATTAATCCTGGCTTAATAGATAAGAATTTCTCTTAACTGTCTTAGCTAACTGCAATTAACCCATTTTCGACAGGCTTTTTCTGGCTTTGTTCTTACATTACTTTATTTATTATTTAATTTTTAGTCTTAAGAAAGTAATTAGCTACAAATATAATTGCCCAACCCATTACTGTGTGATATAGAGCCCTGCTCAGTTTGAATTATTTTTACTGACTTTTTTCATAATTTATCTTTATTTTAATATACGTAACTTTTGATATGTATGTCAACTGTGTTTATGTACATGTAATTTTCTCTAACTTCATGACAATTTTAGCTGCCTCATGTTTATTTTTTGTTTCTTTTTTATTTGTTAATGAATGATTCTGTTTATTTATCAATAATTTTTTATTGAAAGATAAAATTTTATTTACCAAGATACAATGTATCATTTAAGTTTTGAAGAGTAAATAAGTATTCAAGAGTCGATAATCATTCAATTAATGTTTTGTTAAAGCAAATATGATTTTAAAAGAAAGGTATTTTGAGTTACAGATTAATTTGAAAGAGAAACAAATGTTATACTCTATCTTGGCATATGAACCTTTCTTTTAAAAAATCAACTGAATATTTCATTCTTGCCTGAGTACAAATTTTCAAACATTTTTCTAAATTCAGGATATCCAGTTTTTCTGACATTTTGATCTTGCATATATGCAAGTGTTTATCATGAATATTTGATTCAGAGATTTGACCAAAAAAATGTTGAAATTTGCAATTGAACAAACTTAAAATATGTTGTTTTATTCTTCATTAGTTTCCAACTTGCACAATACTTGTTAGTTTTATGAATTTGTGCACACTGACATAAGTTATACCAAAAATATAAAATAAGTATTTATTTATGTGTTTATATAATGCATGACATGGTTGATAAGTTACAGGTATAAATTTAACATATGTGTAATGGTTGATAAGTTACAGGTATAAATTTAACATATGTGTAATGGTTGATAAGTTACAGGTATAAATTTAACATATGTGTAATGGTTGATAAGTTACAGGTATAAAGTTAACATATGTGTAATGGTTGATAAGTTACAGGTATAAATTTAACATATGTGTAATGTTTGATAAGTTACAGGTATAAATTTAACATATGTGTAATGGTTGATAAGTTACAGGTATAAATTTAACATATGTGTAATGTTTGATAAGTTACAGGTATAAATTTAACATATGTGTAATGGTTGATAAGTTACAGGTATAAATTTAACATATGTGTAATGTTTAATAAGTTATAGGTATAAATTTAACATATGTGTAATGTTTGATAAGTTACAGATATAAATTTAACATATGTGTAATGGTTGATAAGTTATAGGTACATGTATGTATTTTACATACATGTTATCTCAACTTTATTTATAGCATAATATTTGTCATTTAAAGATTACTCAACCACAATGAACATATATGTGAGCCACTGTGTTTATATATTTATTACAGTGGAAACACCTCGTGTAAGGAGGCAAGAACAGCCTTGAGTTTATTATGATATAATCTGAAATCAGTTGGTATTTACCATTTTATTTCGATACACCATCCTTAAATGATAAGCTATTGACAATGAAATAAAAACTCAGGTTAGTTTTATAAGTAATTAGATTGTTTGATTATTTGGTACACATTGCACAAAATGCTTGAAGCCTAAGATCTTTTGCCATAAATAAAAGCTGAAAATGTGCCATATTAACTTCATGGATGGCGTGTATAAAAACCAAATTGAAAATAGGTTTATAGGACATTGTAAAAAAAATAAGGATTAAAATGACCAAGATCACTAAAGTTATTTATTGAATATGCATTTAAATGATCTAGATCACTATGTTTATTTGTTAAATAAGCATTTTTAATGACTTTGAATGATCATCATGCACTTTTTTAGATATAATTATAAGCGTTTAAATGATCTAGATCACATAGTTACATGTACATATCACTATGTAATTTTTTAGATAAGCGTTTAAATGATTCACTATGTAATTTTTTAGATAAGCGTTTAAATGATCTAGATCACTTATATATATTTTGAATTAATAAGCATTAAAATGATGTAAATCATTCAGTTATTTTTTCACTTCGCAACCTTGAAATAGAAATTACATAGAAGTGATCAAGTTGTATGATTTTGTATGAACTTTTGTTTAATCCAGCTCCACATTTGAAACAGTCTTTGTGACATATGCTTTCATTTTGTGTGAAAGTTTATTTTATAAAGTACATATCCTACAGAAATGTCTAGTTTTTACTGCTATAAGATATAATTGAACATAATTATAATTTCAGATACCAAATACTTACATATATAATCACACTTTCATTTTTTATAAGAAAAGAACCCCTGAACATCTCTACTTGATACTTTCCTGCAATAAGCCCTGCTTGATTATATAGACTAATATATGTAATCTGCTTGATTAATATATAGTGAGAAAATAATTTAATGTGAGGCTTTTATAATCAAGTCTAGTTATTATTCTAGTGCAATTAATATTATAATGTGATAATTTAATATCATACAAACTGTTTTATCAGCACTATATATTGTCACCTTAGTGCAATAACTGTTTAACTCCTATTAAATGGAGAAGGACTTAACCTGTTACTGCACTAAGGCAACGATTATTATGTGTAGTTTGTCCATTGTTCTTTACCATTGATCATCAAGTTTTATTATAACATGTATTATTGATATTTATCAACAAGTTGATAGACAAGGCTTTAATTACTTTTTTTTCACTTGGCCTAAGTGATGACTTCAAAGTGAGACTTTAGTTCCTGTTTTTTTTGAAAAATGTATGTATTCTAGGCTTAATGAGGGTCCATCGGCCCTTTTAGGCACTGAGAGTACGGTGCCCCTTTTTGAATGATTTACCACCAAAGCCTTAATGTACTTTAACCTATGATTTTGAAGAGGTAATGCAGTAAGGCACTGACCACTTAACTGGACAAAGCAATTATGTTGATTGTCTATGATTATTTATTTATTAAAAAATTACATCTATTTACTATAATTATGTAAATTACATTGCATGAGTTTCTTTGCATATTGTAATAAATATGTGAAATAATGTACTGACTTTATTTTCTTTTATGCTTTTACACATCTATTTCTGAATATTTTTTTCGATCCATCTTCCAAGTAAAGCTTTATCAATAAGTTTTCTATACATTGGCTTGCTACGTCTCATGTAGATATATTAGACTAAAAGTTATATAAAAATACCTACTGACTTCCTAAATATCACACGGTGTTTAAATAAATAAATAATGTAATGATATATTTTGTTCCTGGTTTCAAACAATACATAATCAATAAAATAACAAGATTTGGCACTAACTCAAGTTAGGTTCAATAAATTATTAAAATGAACTACTACACGGACGTGCATATCTTTAAGATATACATGTATGTATATCTCTTTGTTTAGACACTTTTAGGATTAACAAGTGTCGCATGCAATAACTACGTTGTCCCGTTTGGGCCATCGCGACACACACATCGAAAATACGACGTTGTAAAGTCGAAATAAGGAAACCACGATTATGTAAAACTAGATATAATTTCGACTTTTCACCATCGTCCTTTCAACTTTTCGTCATTGTGGTTTCGACTTTTCACCATCGTTCTATCGACTTTTCGTCATAGTGGTTTCGACATTTTACCATCGTACATTCGAGTTTTCACCCCCATATTTACGACTTATTGTTAAGCATGCGCACTGAATGACAGTATTAGAGATGTCACCGGTAGTCGTTAAAAAAGAAAACGCACATACATGTATGTAATTCATGGCAACATGCCCCAAAGCCATCGGTAATAGTTTTCTTGGTAAAAAGTCGAAACCATGATGATAAAAAGCCGAAAGATCGATGGTGAAAAGTCGAAATAACGAAACCATGATTGTGAAAGTTCGTAAGTGCTATGCTGAAAACACTAAATTATATCGAATACTTACCATCGTGATTTCGTTATTTCGATATTTCACTATCATAATTTCGACTTTTTATCGTCGTACTTTCGACTTTTCACGGTCGTGGTTTCGTTATTTCCACTTTTTGTCATCGTATTTTTGTGTTTTCTTTGTTTCGAGTTATATGTGTCGCAATGGCTCTAACGTGACACCGTATATAACCGTACCTTTATAAAGAAAGTTAAAAATGAATGACTTTTATTGTTACTTTTTAGCTCACTAGGACACAACGTACTAAAGAGAAGCTATATTGTGATCACCTTGTGTCTGTAGTGTGTCGTTAACTTTAACAACTTCTCCAAAGAGTAATAAAGATATAAAGGAATGATTCTTAGATGATCTTCTAGAAATGTGCTCTGCTGAACAAGATGACCACAAGAAATAAAATAGAAAAAACTTTCAGTGACATCTCTTCGTAAAACACTTGGTAGATTGTTATGAAGCTTAAAATGAATGATTATTAGGAAGCCCTTTAAATACATTGCTCTAATCATTATGGTATGTCAAACAAGATGGCCAACAGAGTAAATACAGCTGTCGATAACCTATTTGACTATTCTCAGTACTTGGATAATGTTTAAAAAGGACCATAATTCTGTCAAAATCCATGTTAGAGTTATGGGCATGGACGCCTGGATGAGTACAAATATTCTCCATATTTTTCGAAAAGTCGACCTAAAAATGGAAATAAGCATTTAATGACATCTCATCTATAGATTTGCAGAAACTGTACATATAACAGGAGTGTCTTGATAAGGAAATATTGTCAATGTCAACCATATATTCTACAGCGAGCGATTAGAGATCATCGTAGCCCTCTTCTTTCAAAACAATTCGGATATATTTGTTGACTTGCTTACGACATTCCTTACCAGTCTATAAATAAAGACAAGCTATTGCACAAAAAATTCCTTTTAAACATTCCACTTGTAATGTGAATTGTGTCAATGCTTATATCATTAAATCTAAATCGATCAGCTGTATTGTAACGAGTGTTCTATACCTGGAATTTAACATTTCATTTTTGTATATCTAAACCGGAAAGTAACTCAACAGATGAGGCAATCAGATAAGATAAATTGAATTACAAGAATTTCAACTTGATCACCAATGGTATCATTTTATAACATTACTTTTTGTTTTAACTGAAACAAAATTTAATAATATCATTTGAAGTTCATGTATAATCAGTTTGCGTAAGATTTAGTGAACCTAGCGCACTCATGTCTTTTGATTTTAGGTTCTTTTTCTCTATATACACAATTAACATTTTTACTGGATCTTTGAGCATGAGCGCAAACGATTTTTATAAACTGTATAACCACAAAAGTAACTACCATTTTACGTTTTAGAAGAGACTCTCTAAAAGCATACTTATTACAAAGAAACCGTTGGACCTCATTTGTAAACGAAACATGAACCAATCAAGAAACAAGTTAAAAGTTGTGAAGTTAAATAACATTTATTTTTTCGGTGTGAAGGTTTTAATAAGTAATGGTGTTAATATGATATGAAGGTTTTATTGTGTAATTGTGGTATTTTAGTGTGAAAGTTTTTAACAGAATGAAAGTTTAATAGTGTTGTGAAGTGTGAAGGTTTTATAATGTGAAGGTTTATTGATTTAACGGTGTAATGGTTTAACAAAAAGCTTTTTTAATGGTGAGACGGTTTTATGGTGTAGAGTTTAAATGAAGTGAAGGTTTTAGGGTGTGGTTTTATGGTGTGTAAGTTTCACGATGTTAATGTTTTAAGGTGTAAATGTGTGAAGGTTTAAAGATGTGAAAGTTTTAAGGTGTAAAGATTTTATGGTGTGACGGTTTTATGGTGTTAAGGTTACTTATATATCAATTTCTGTTGATAGTCATGAATCTACATTTTTTAATGTCTTCAATGCATTCAAAAAGTTATTCGATAACATACAATGGGAAGATATCGACATAAAACAGTGCCTGTCAGTTATATAAATAATAATACCCTTAATTAAAAGTATCTTGTACAACGTCAATAGTTTCTTTTTGTCTAAAACAAACAATGATAGGTGACAGCGCATTTATGTCGATGATGTCACCAGTACAATGTACTACGAACAAAATATCTTTATCATTTCGGTTTAAAATAAACAATAAACATTCACCACTTATCAAGGAACAATAATCTTTCAACAATTAAGGATGAATATTGTTAAATGATAATAGTGATAAACTTATTGCGTATTTTTATTTCGTGTTGGTCATATTATTAGGAAGCAGGAGGTAGAGCTTATCATTTTTGAGATGAAAACCAGTTGACGAAGTATGATAATAGCTGAAAATCAAATGATAACTTAAGAAAATGAAGCCAAAATTCTTGAAGCAAACCGGCAGAAGAACTGTTGACAGACAAATTAAACGTGTTAAAGAATGTGACAGACAAACGGTTGCTCAAACTGGACGTGTAGGCTCTCTAATAGAGAAGAAAGAAAATGAAGAATTCGATGACGATTTTCTCCAAGAACTCGACGCTTGTGAAATAAGTGGAAACGTATTGAATCAGGAAATATGTGGAGGCACATTACAAACCGATTCCAAAAGAACCCATTTGGTGACAACATTTGGAAGTGTAAGAAACTCGAATCCATTGAATGGTCAAAAATATGATGAATCATTCGCTGAACATTATTCTGGGCCAGGTGAGGAACTTGAAAGTTCGCTCGCCGAATCTGCTCTTCACAGCAACAAGAAAAACAGGAATCGTCGACAACGAAGAGGCAGGCGTAATAAGGCATCCTTTGAAAATAAAATATCTGAGGAAGACAAAGAATGCGATCCGGTTCTAGAAATGACAGGGAGAAGAAACGTTTGTAACAAGATCGAGAACATCAATCATCCTAAAAAGGATGCGTTGCCAAAAACAACAAAACCAAGGCATGGCATTTTTAATGATTGTACAAAACTTAAAGACAATGTTCCAAGAAGACAAGGTGAAACTTTATATCATACTCTTGATATCAGCAGAGAAACAGAAAATCAAAATTATGAGAGCAAACGCGAATATGTTGATGCTTCATCTAGTGATAGATATGCAAAACAAACTGACACCGGACCCGTTTGTATTAACCTGTCAAGAATTCCTTCGGCGGAAATCCGAAACCGAATTTTAATGGAAAGCTATAAAACGATGGTGCGTTCAAGAAAAGAGGTCCATTCTCTTGACGAGCTCTCTGGTATGTTTTCAATTTTCAAAAGTTTTCGTATTAAATATGATAATATGACAGATATAACGTCTCTACTGGAAAGAAATGAAGACAAATTTGTCATTACCTACAGTGCAATGGACGAACCTTTATTTTCTGTCAAAACAGATATGGCAATATGCGCTATTTTCACAAATGACACGTGTCAAAGTCACACGTGTCACGATTTGCATATTTGTAAATACTTTTTACTCAGCAAATGCTCTCGAAAGAAGTGCAAGTTTGGCCATAATCTTTCAACAGAACATAACAGAAAGGTGTTCAGACAGTATGCTCTTGACGGTGTAGATAAGGCATCCCAATTGCATTTGCTAAGGGACATTGAGAGTAGAAATATGTCCACGATGCCTTTGATGTGTAAATTTTACAACAACGAAGGTGGTTGTAAAAATAACAATAATTGCCCACATCTTCACTTATGCAAGAACTACATAAATAATGATTGTAAATTTAGTAAAAGGTGTAAAAGATGTCATGACATACTGGCTAAACAACCACTTTCTGTGCTGAAAATGTATGGTTTAAATCCGACTTGTTTCAACATTGACAAACTACTAAGTATATTAAAAGATACGTTGGAAAATGGAGATGTTGTTCTGAAAAGAGACATTCAGCATAACAGAGGTGTAAGAGCAGATCGACACAATAGTTTTAGTAGTATAAACGATGTACACGAATCAAGCGCAAGTGATATATCATCCAGCGAGATGTCAGACAAAGATGAAGATGATGAAACTGACAACGATTGGAAGGAACAGACGTTAGAATCGTATGGATTTGTAGAGCAGGACTCATCCTTTGAACAAACTGATGGTGAACGCCAAGGAACTCCCGAGAATGACCTTTCGTTGCTGCACAAAAATGAACACATTGCAGATAGTGGTGAAAGAAGACCTTTTTGTGGGCATTTGACTTCACTTACGGGACAGAAAAAGGATTTACCCACTGGCAATGGTCATCAGGGTGACACAGAACCAATAATGACATTTGAATGTAAGTTATTTAGTAACATATCTCGGAGGTAATCAACTATTTGGTTATATGTGAACATAAAGTGATGTTTGTTATTTTTTATTTGATGTCTTATTTTGGTAATAAATGCATTTATCTATTCAAATCTAATTATAGGCACTACTAGTACGGACCCAAAATGAATTTTGCAATATAAGTAATCAGTTAAACATATTTTCAGCACAAATAGAGAAAAAGCAATTCGTGGTCCGAAAAGTGAATGGACGTTTAGTTATATGGAACAAATTAGGAAACTGGTATAATATGAATGAAGAAGATTCAGCAAGATTATTGCAGCTACATCAAGATTTCATTTCATTCGCAGAGAAACTTGATGACCATGATGTTTAACGTAAGTTAAGTAGGTACTGCAAATTTGTAACGTATATTTTCATGGGACAACCACAATGTTTATATAATCTATTATACACGCCTGTTTCATATAATTAATTAATTATGTTTAAATGTATTCTAAACAGAGAAGAAGTCCTGCATTGGTATCTTCATGAAGACGTTTGAAATGAACTATGCATGTGTATATATGATCGGCTGTTTGCCTTATTGCAGTCGGCTATAATTAAATAATAATAAATATTGCACAATGAGCAACCATGTCTTTTTCATATTCCTTTGCGTTCTGAAGACTATGTTTGAAAATATTAGTGTATGTCATTTACTAGTATGAGAGTGTATTAATATTTATTGATTTATTATATTAACTGTCTGTTTTGTAGATAGCGCAAAACAATCATCAATAAAGGGACGTGACTTCTTCCAGTCAGTGCATGACTTAAAGGCAGAGAGCAGTATTTCAGCTTTCAAAATATCTTATAGATTTTCACAGCACTTCAAAATGGCTCCGTTTAGCAAACTCATTGCAAATGTTTGAACTTATCGTAGTATATATACAGACGGGAAAGTATTTTTTTAAATCCCATACCGAAGCATACTATATATAATAAGTATTTTGTTTAGATTAGAGATATTATTCCAGTGATATGTGATTCATCTCTGATCATGTGTTTCATAAATAAACTTATAAGTTGTAATTTAAAATCAATGTGGTTATTTGTAGTATGTATAGGTGAAGGGAGATAAGATTAAAACTTCCGCATTATTACATAGATACAATAAACACAACCGAAATGCACTTAATTTACATGTATGTTTAATAACAGTTTCAATATTAAGTTACCTCACGTGATAATAAGAGCTTATATACGGCACAGTAGAACCAGAAGATGATAATCGGTTTGCTGAACAAATTATGACCCCAGAGTGCTTCAGTCAAAAGACATTATTTATTCAGAACCGATTGTCACTTTCGAGCCCGTCTCGAACGTGTATTTATGTTATTAAAAACATTTTGAAAGTACTTTTTATTAACAAGTGTTTCAAGTCATTTTCTGTTTTATATATTTTTGGAAAATAAGAGTTTAAATCTGATCGTTTTGACTCATATGTAAACATTTGTAGCAGGTTTGTGTACAACTATGTGCTATATTTGCTATCGTCGAATTTCAATGGACAATCATGTAGTTTTTATTGTCTACATACACCGTTGATTTTATTTTATGATCTTTGTATAAACAAATAAAAACAATTTAGCAGCACATTTTGTTCCATCTTTCTTACATGATGATTTGATGATGATGGTGGTGGTAGTGGTGGTGTTGGTAGTTCTAAGTATAACTGTTATTACAAATATGACTATTATGATAATAATAATAATAATAAAAAATAATAATAATCATTACTATTATTATTATTATCATTATTATAATTATGATGATTATTATTATTATTATTATTTACTTATACTACGTTTTACTTACTGAAGTAAAACGACAATATTCTTTCACTTTCGATACAATAGAAGCTCCATTTATGAGACACAAAGCGAATTATACAATATATATTGTATCTTTATAAAATGTATATAATCGCTTTTTTTTTATTCTTCAATTGCTTATGCTTGTTATTTAAATATTAAAACCGAAATTTATATTATTTTATATCATTCGATATCAAATCTTATCAGCATTTATCTACATCACAGTAGTCCTTACGGTATCACTCTAACATTCGTTTGGGTAGTTTATAAACGGACCAGAGACATTTGAATATTTTTACTAATTAATCGCGCAATATTTTTAAGGTTTTAAAAAATTTGGTAGTGGGAATGTTGGGTGTGTGTGAGGAAGGGAAGGGGGCAGGGACTGAGGGTGGTTTTAGACTATACGGTGGCTAATCTGCATTAGAGATCCTGTATGTTGTAATTGAGGTTGTTACCACATTTAAGTGAAATTTTATATATGTATATAATTAATTATGCTTCTAAAACAATTTTCAATCATCGAAGAATATATAAAATATGTACTGCAAATATTTGTTCACATTATATGCAATCATTAAAATATATGCATTATATTTAATCATTAAAATATATGCATTCATTCCTTATTGAAAAACTTAGACTTTATAGAAAATAAATTTCTAATTACCTCCCTTTATTTTATGAAAAGTTAAAAATTTGGTTATTTTAAAATAAGTTTTTTTGAACTTAAATTTTGAAAAACTTAGTTTGGTCTGAAAAAATTAAACCATACAAATTTTTGTACAGGGAAATTTGCCCCCTTATGTAATCAATGGTTCTCGCCCCCAAAAAGACGCTCAGAATAATAAATACTTTTTATTTTCATGAAAATTCAAAAGTTTATCTTTGAAAAAAAACACTGTTAAACCGGCCAGTTTAAATCCCAAGGATTGGTTTCAAATAAAAACAAGTTGTCCCAAGTTTTTTATTTTCATGAAATGAATAACCTTTTTAATAGACTTCAAAAAATCATAAATTCGGTTTTAAAAACTTAACCTTATGATATTCGATATCTTAATATCTGAAACGGAATTCCCGATGTGATTTCCCGGGAAACAAGCTAAAAATAATTCCTACTTCATGCAAAGGAGAACGAATTTACGTTGCGCCATATTTCCAGAATTACTGGTATGTCATATTTTTATTTACTATTATATCTTTTTATTAAAAACAATATAAAATTTCTTCGTTTTCATTATTTTCTAATTTACTCACTGAACTTAAATACATGCATTTACTTGGTACAAGTGCACTGTATTAGATCTTAAAAAATAGATTGTTGTAAAGGAAAATAATTTATTTAAATCTACTTTTGTTGTTGTTGTTGTTGTTTTGTTTTTTTATTTATATTCTCCAATATTTATATTTGAATGAATCATATCAATAATTTTAATTTATTTTTATTGTATGTGATACATATAATGTACATAAAGGGATTTCATGCAAAACGAATACTCATTAAAAAAACAATACGAAACCGAAAGTAAGTTTAAGTCGGAAATATAAAATAATAATACCAACGTTGTTAGCATCAATACATTTTTAAAATATTTTACAGATGTATTTTGAAAAATAGCTAGAAATTAGAAAAGCACAAACGAAATCGACTATATAAAGTGTAATAAAACATTCGCAGAAACTTTGAAAGACATTAAGGAACTTCAAGAATTATTAAATATAGACAAATACTTACTTCAGGGATTGAAATGGTTTTAAACGACGTCCGAGTAGTAGACGTGTTGGCACTGAAACGGAAAACGATTACTCGAGAGATCAACGGCGAGGAATCGTAATACCACATAGAAGGGAACGCATTGAGGAAGTCATCTTCACCAGACCTTACCCCTGAAATGACCTCTTACACACGTCGTCGAAATCGAAATGATGAATCATGATATGTGGGAGAGTCGTGAACAGTTTGACAAGTTGTGCCATTCTCGGGAGCGTTCCTCTATGTTGAGTTCATTTGATGAAGATGATTTCAGGAGAGATCATCGATGTGTATCCTATGAGAGATTTCTGTTTCCCGTGATCGTAGTCGCAGTCCTTTATCGCCAAGGAATTATCAGGACAGTTTTAGAAGATATGGTGATTTCCGAGGAAGAAGCCCGATTCGCGATAGCTTTGATCCGTTCGACGACCATGATGTAGACCGTAGAGACCAATATCTATGTAATGGATATAGTGAAGGATTTGATCAAAGAGGTGCTTTTCGTAGAGAGGAAGGTCACTTCACAAATAGAGAGCTTGGATTTGCTGAGCAAAGAAGAAAACACAAGACAACAGACAAAAGAAACCTGTCATGGACGTCCGGGAAATTTTCTAACAATGCGAAGACTCCGCGCGTTCCACTTTCGATTTGTAAGTTTTACAACAACGAAGGAACTTGCAAACGAGGCCAGTCATGTGACTACTTACACGTATGTAAATACTTTATAGATAATGATTGTAAGTTTGGAAATGGATGTAAGCGATCACATAATGTCCTAGACGTGCAACCAAGGAAAGTCCTCACAAAATACGGAATAGTGTCTGATTATTACGATAAGAGAGACGACATACGTGTAAGAGAACTTACACGATTGGTAAAAGAAAAGCTTGACAGTCAGGATGCAAAACCGCAAATCGATATATCAAGGATAACCTATTTTAAAGAAACTCAAAATGCAAAGGCACGGCCATTTTTAACGCAAGGAAAATCTATTTTTAACATCGTATCTGACATTGGGAATACGTCCGATAAGGATAGTGAGGACAGTATGGAAAACAACACATCTAAAATTTCCTCAATATCGAAATCTTCTAACGGAACATCAAAGCATAAAACAGATATACCCCATCAGATATTTACTGAAGAAGATTATATTCCTCTCGAACGTAAACCAAGTTGTTGATCCTAAGACTGCCCTGTCATCAAAAGAAAGACTTAAACAGAAAAGGAAATCTAAATTGCAAAACACATTTTGAACATTAAACAAGACTCGACATTGGCTAAGGGATACAAGACAATGTTAAAGTTCTTGGCCAATTCCAGGCTAAAATCACGGTTGAAAGTAAGTAATTATTATAAGGTGTACATTCCTATAGTACTATCTGATTTAATATGAAGAAATTCACACATGCTTTATTTTTACAAAAAGCATAATTATAAACTCTGTTGAATGGCTCGAATAACAATTATGCATGATCAAACAGTTTAGGTTCCTAGCTCGCTTTATGAAGGATATCAGTATTATTTTATAGCGTTGTTGTAGTGCGCAGTTTCAAACAAATGTTTTATACCGGTTATCTGTCAAAATTATATATTGAATATCTAATACATACTTTTTTGTATCTGATTAATGTATTCATTTATATGCAGCAAATGTTATGCATGCAAATATCTTATAAACCGTACAATTGCCAAATGAAATTGACTTTACAAAAGTGCAGTACTTTAAAAGTTAACTTGAATTACATACAGAGCTGTAATTCAGTTTCAGGCCAGTCGGGAAGTTTCAGTACGAAAAGATAATGATCACTGGGAGATTTTACCCAGTAAGTGGTGAATGGTCATTTACCTGAAGATAGTAGCAGAGAGATGGACAATGTGTATTGCAGAGTTATTGAGATCAAGGATAAAGTTGATGGACAGATGAAAGAAACAAAAGCTATGTAATATTTCATTTTAATTTTTATTTTACGAATTTTT